AAGGGCTTCGGTCATTTACTCCAAATATACTGACTGATACTGACTGAAGTCCAGAGTCTTGCAACGGGCTTCGCGAAGAAGCGAACAGGGATATCACTTACAGAAGTCCGAAAAATAAATGTCCGTGTTTGAGGGTACTTTCAGCTACGGGAGACTTCAAGTATCGAGAAGACACAAGTAGATGTCAAAAGGTAACTGACTGACATTGTGGCTAAAAGTGCTCGAACGTATCGCAAAGAAGGATTATGAAAACTCAGAGCTCAGAGACTTTGTCCACTAATTTCTGAACTTGGTAAGCCAACGAGAGAAGGTTCAGGATGCAGGCACTTAGGAACACGTAAGTGGACTAAGTCAGAACTCACTTGGAATAACGAACCATGGGTGCGGAAACGCGAACGAAAGGGGCATCGTCAGAAATGTACCTTGAGACGATATCCATTGAATCAAACCTTAAAAAGAACAAAAGAAAACACTCTAACAAACGGGTATCTTACGAGTGAAATTTCCAGAAGGCGAATGACAGAACGACCTATAACGTCAATTGGGCATCCCAACCGAATGCTTGCTTAAGCAAATATGTACACAAAAGTGCAGTGTGTAGTTGGCAAGCAGATAGTAAAAAAGCATAAATGTTTGACACTGCACATTTTCGGTAAGCCTGCAAAAAATCACGAAGTTGAAGAGCATGCTAATAGTAATAATGGTAATTTGCTGCAAACGCAACGTATTTGTTATTTAGAGCAACAGTTAAGTCATACACGGTTAGTGTTTTTAACTTTTCCTCTTCTAAAGGGCACCTACTGGCTCCCTCTACAATTCAAGCTCAGGAAAACGCAATAATTGACCAATTTACAAGATCCTGCGACTGCCGCATCCTTCACAGCATATGCAACAGCGTTAAAGGCACAGCCTAAATGTAGGCTGTGCGGAGGCCGATGGCAGATCTCTCAATTTTTTTCTACTGCACTTTTTTTCCGAACTCAGCGAAAATAGACGGGGACAGACACTGATTAAAATGCCAACACTAGACAGAGTTTCGAAAATCGGGCTTGATTGTTTGAAGTCTTCGAAACAAGAAAAAAGGGTCGTGCGAAACTGTTGTCCGAGCATTTGGACCGGTGCCATTCTACGCAGTCCTAACATTTTTCCGAAGCCCCACTTGTTGATCTTGTCGTTTATGGAGGACATTTTGCCTGTCGTGGTCTCGATAAGCAGTACTAATTTTCTAAATACATTAGAATTACGAAATACGCAGAATTGCCTTCTAGGGGGTCTTTGATTTCGTTTTCAATTTAATATAAACATTGGTTTGACGAGATAATTTTGGCACCTAGAAGAACGCCCAACGGGAATTTGGTGAAATAGGGGATTCGACTGCCTGCGGTGGGACAATTTTCCTGATTGTGCGCTCTTTCCCTATTTCCTGCCCCCATTCATTGTTAGATGAGGTGATAAACAAACTAAACAAAGGAGGGCCAAGTAGTCTGCCGCATTATCTTACCAACAGTTAACAACTCAACAGTTAACATATACTTAGGCAATGATGCGCTCACAACTAGCGTTGGCGGTTTCTTAATGGTCCTCCATAAATCAACCATGCCAAACCGCAAAACGTAGTGAGAAAAACTGAGATGAAAACAAACTATCGCCAGACTAGTGCTCAAAGGACGTAGGAATAACCAGTTTCACCCAATATTGGTGGATATAGTTGCATATGGGCAGAAAGGATCTTATGGACGGTCAATTCAGAGAACACGACAATATTCGCAAAGATAAGAATAAGAATGTCATCAAACGGACGGCTCAAACAGGAGACAACAATTCAAATGCGTTTATATTCTTGAAAAAATTACAAAAAAACTGAAATTAACACAGAGGAGTTCAAAATAATAAAAACCATTTTCAGCAAGTAGAATAAGAAGGAAGGACAGGACTCGTATAGGATAAGCATGAAAAGTCTTCAAA